ATGGAGTTGGTCTTGGTTTATCTTGATTAAGAGATTCTTTAGTTTTACCCCAAAGAGAATTTAACCCAACAGCAGTAACAATCATTTGTCCATTACCATCAGTAACTTTAGTTCCTGACATCATCCAATAATCTTTTTCAGACTTTTTTACAGCAACAGGTTCTCCTGTCATATCAGATTCATCAACTCTAAGATCAAACCCAGATGCGTACACACCATCTGCTGGAATAACATCTCCAACATCTAAATTAACAAGATCTCCAACAGCAAGATCACGAATTGAAATTAATGTATTTTCCCCTTTACGAACTACCTTAATATTAACATTCTTTTCATCTTGAGAAAGTTCCATGAATTTCTTTTGTTTATTGTAATCTGAAATTGATGACCCAACAGAGACAATAATAACTGCAACAAAAATTGCAAGTCCTTCAATCCAATCTGTGTTCATTTCTTGCTCTTCTCCACATGTTTGACTTTTTGGCATAACTAAAGCTAAAAATAATGACACAAAAGCAGATGCAATAAGAATCATAAGAGTTGAATCATTAAGAGAATCAACTAACATTTGGAAGAATGTTTTCATGATAGGATCTGGGTATTTGTTTTGACCAAATTGTGAGTATCTCTCTTTAAGGTCACTTCCATCAAGACCTTTGGTTTGGTTAGACTTGAGAATTTTACAGATACCTTCAGTTCCTCCAAGTTCTTTGAAAAGAGCTTCATCTTTATTACCAACAAGGTTGTAGAGACTATTTCCACTAATCTCAAATGGAGAAGTGGCGTCTTGATTTCCACTGTATTCGATTCTCTGTCGCTTTTGTTTTGAGTTATCTTGACCCATGTAATGAAAGAATTAGGAGATCCTTCTTTTTTAACCTGATTGACCACGTGTCAGTAAGAGAAGACCTGTTTTCTTTTTTTTTTGATTATTTAGTGTAAAAATGGACTAAAATAGTAAAAAATCCAACACTTTTTCTTCATTAATAAAAAAGGAAAAAAAAATATTTAATGAAACAAAAACTGAAAAATTCTTTTAAATAATTATGATTTATATAAAACTCATTGTAAATTTTAATTTTTGTTATTAATAAAAGTTATATAAAACTAAAAAAAAAGACATGAAAAAAATGATTTGGTTTGATTTAAGCTAATAATGCCTTGAAGAAACCAGGAGCTGGTGCAATGCCAGTAATACCAGCAACAGCAATACGAGCACGAGTATTAACAGAAATCTTCATATCTGAAATTTCTTTATCGATTTCTTGCATAAATTCAATAATGAAATCTATAAGTTTATGTTTAAAGAGATTTTCTGTTTGGAAGTTAGTAATTAAGAATGAAATGTCATATCCTTTAATTGGTTTTCTTCTAAGAATAACAAAATTCTCAGCTCTTTGTTGAAGGAATGAAACAAATCTTCTAAGAAGAATAACTTCAAGATTATCAGCTTTTTTAACACAAATTGAAATTCTTACTGAGTTAATTGATCCCTCAATCATTACTTTTTCACATTTATCAACTCCATTTTCTTCAGCATTTGGCTCAGATGGTACTCTAACAATAACAACTGGTTTAAAAATAACTTCTTTTGAAAGACCAAGTTCAACTTCTGGTTTGTTATGTCTTTCAATTAATTGTGATGCAAAGTTAGTTACACACATTGCACTATTCAATGTTGCTCTAATAGTATCTAAATATGCTTGATAAGTGGTAGCCATGTTATAGATCTATTATTTTTAAAGATCTAAAGTTCAACTTTTTTCTTTTCTTTTTTTTAGTTACAACTCTAAACTTTCTTTGTTATTTATTTTTTGTTATTTATTCCAGATTTTATTATTTTATTTAATCATTATTTTTGTGTTATTGAAATAATTAATAAAAATTGATAAAACAAAAAATAGTACACACTCTAAACTAATTTAAAATTATTCGTGAACATTGAAATGTTGTTTAATTTCTTCATATGCTATCTCCAATTTCTTTTCTTCTAATAATTCTTCTTCAGAATTTTTCAACATTGTTCTAGTTGATTCACTAAGTACTAAATCATCTACAACATGATACTCACCTCCATAACAAACAACTGGCATACTAAAGAATATTCCTTTTGGAATACCATATTGTCCTTCACTATAAACTCCCATGCAAATAATTTTTTCTTTATTTGTTCCAAGGCACCAATCTCTAAAATGATCAACAATAGCTTTGGCAGCTGAAGCAGCTGATGAAGCCTTTCTCATTTCAATTACTTTAGCTCCTCTTTCTTGAACAGTTTTATTAAAAGATTCTAACCAATTTTCATCAACAAGATCAGCTACTCTTTTTGGTCCATTTGGTGTTTGAATAACTGCATGAGAAATATCTGGACATTGTTTTTCTGAATGATTTCCCCATACAAAAGCATCAGAAACATCTTCAACCTTACAATTTAATTTATTTGCAATTTGAGCAATAGCTCTATTTTGATCAAGTCGAGTTAAACAAGTAATTTGTTTAACATTGATTCCAGCATTATTAGCAACTACAAGTGCATTAGTATTAGCTGGATTAGCAACAACTAAAACTCTAACATGAGGATTAGCAAAGTTCTTAAGAGCAAGGGCTTGTTCTTTCATAATTCTAGTATTAATACCAATTAATTCTTTTCTTTCCATACCTACTTTTCTTGGCATACCTGCAACTAAAATAGCACATTCAACATCTTTAAATGCTACTTCAGTCTTGTTTGAAGCTATAACTCCTTTAACAAGTGGGAAACAACAATCAGCTAATTCCATTTTTACTCCTTCCATAGCTTCAACCATAATATCATATAAATGTAAATAAACTGTTTGATTTGGACCAAACATTAAACCATGGGCAATTAAGAAAAGAAGATTATATCCAATTTGACCAGCAGCTCCAGTTACAAGAACATGAAGTGGTTTTGATTCAACATTTGGATCAACGTTGATTCTTTTCCAAGTCTTATTAATGTCTAAACCAGTGTTCATTATTAATTGAATTAATATTTTGTAGATGTATTTGATTTATATAGGGTTTATTTGGTCATTTGAAATATTTGTTAAAACGGCTTTTTGTTTCAATTTTTTAAATACTGACTATTTAAACCTTATTTTATTTAATCTTATTTAAATAGTACCAAGTGTGTAAAATAATACAAATCAATTAAATTAATAGTTGTAAATTTCTTTTGGTGAATTGGTGGTCTTCAATTTGCTAATACTTGTTTGAATTACAACATACTTCATTCTCATCCTAGCTTCATATTCATTTCAGAGAAATTTCTAATAACAATGAAGGAATTTTCATGACTGCCAAATTCTCTTTTTTCGTCTTTTTGGAGTTTCTTCTCTGTCCTTTTCGTTGAATTTCTTCTTGAACTAATTGAAATTCAATGAACCTTTATTTGCATTTGGATGAATCAACAAAGATTCGAACTTCTAGAGAGGGTTCAACAATAAGTTCACTTAAATTTCAGTTTTCATTAAAATTTTGTTATTTTTTAATTTTTATTTGTTATTTAAACCATAAAATAATAAAAAGTGTTATTTAGAATGAAGATTAATTATCATAATCAACACAAACAGCACATATTGGTTTACCATCTTCTTCATAAAATTGTTCGTCACCAATTTGTCTGTTACACTTAACACATTTAACACAACCTTCATGCCATTTCTTTCCAAATACTTCTAAAAATGACATTCCAATTGGCTTTCCACATCCACCACATGGTTCACCACATTCTTGACAATAAAACTTACCATCATACACAATAGGCTCTTTCTTAATTCTTGTTTTACAGGCAACACATTTAAAACATTCGGCATGATAATCTTTTCCTTCAAAGGTTTTAACAATTACCATATTTCTTGTAATTGGATTTCCACATTTAGCACATTGTTTGTAATTAAAACATTCATCACACCAACTTGTTCCTTTAAGTCCACTGTTAAGTTCTTTAAATAATTTATGACAACCACTACACTCTAAACTCATTTTTATTTTTTTAAGTTCTAATGAAAAACTATTTTTATATTTCTTCTCCTGTTTTTTGTTAAAAAGTTTGAACTCTAACAACCAGTTAATGTTCAACTCATTCATTATTACCATAATTTTTTTCATTTTTTTTAAACCACTAAAATAATTAAAGGCAATAAGATTGGATTATAATCTATTCAACTTGAATAGCACCACAACCACAGTTTCCTTCACATGCATGACATTGGACACAATCAGCAACTCTTGGTGCAGTACAAACTCCGTCCTTTAATTCAAGGACTCCAGCTGGACATCCATCAACACAAGCACTACATCCAACACAATCAGCTGTGACTGTAATTTTTTTTCCATCTACTTCATAAGTTGACATCTTTAAGTGAATGAATTATAAGTATCCCTAACTCTTTAAATATTATAAATTCTTCTTCTTTTCAAAAAAAGAAGAATTTTCGAACCGATATCAAACCCCTCAATGTCAGTAATTAACAAATAATACTTCTGTTAATTTCATTGTCATTTCAACTGAACTATTTTGAACTTTTAAAATTACCTCAGAATTAACTTACTCATTTACTAAAAAAACAAAGTTCTTCTTTTTGTTTTGTTATTCTTTTTTAAAAACAAAAAACCTTAAAATAAAATTAAAACATTAGACTTTCTTCTTAATTTATTGGGATTGAGCAAGTGAGTCTATTTGATGTGCTTGTTGTAAGACTTTGCTAACGTCTTCGTTAATAACGTCTTTAATCTCTTTACCTCTTTGTGTTTGACTATTTTGGTTGTTAGTTTTTTGAATATTTGGTTCATTATTTTGCTTTTCATTTGGCTGTTTTTGTTTTTCTACTGGTTGAGTAACTTGTTGGTTATTTGGTTGAGCAACTGGTTGATTATTTGGTTGAACGGCTTGTTGATTATTTGGTTGAACGGCTTGTTGATTAGTTACTTTATTATTTGGTTGAGCAACCGGTTGGTTATTTACTTTATTAGTTGGTTGAACGGCTTGTTGGTTATTTGCTTTATTAGTTTTGTTTAGATTAGTTTTTTGAGAAGGTCTGACAACTTTTTTAGTAGACTTTTTGACCCTCTTTTTTGCAGCCTTAGCAATTTTTTTCATTCTTCCTTTTACAGAAGCAGATTTTGGAGAAATGGCATCATAGAAATCTTCAAAATCATCCAAATCTAATAATTCATCAAAGTTGTCAAGTACATCAGAATAGTCTTCATATGCATTTGAAAAAGTAAGGATAGTAAATAGTAATAACCACATCATCATTTTTATTAAAAACACTATGACTTTTCAGTTTTTCTTTTAATTTAAAAAATTTTTTTTAATTAGATAGTTTTAATATTTTAATTCATTTTAAATAAAATAAACTGATAAATTACTAAAACCCAATATAAATGAATAACATTCTATTATGCAAATCATTCATTTACTCAATTTTATTATCTCTTCAAGAGTACATTTATTTTTTTAAAAGAAGGTTATGGTTTACATTAGAGTTCATTAGTTTTATTGGAATATTTTATTCATTTGTTACATTACATTTTATTCTTTTAATATTATTTTGTATTTGTTTTATTTTGACATTGGTCGTTCCGACATTAACCGTTAGTAACCCACAAATTTTAATTTCATCAAATGAATTTACTCAAAAATTATCTCGTTGTTTTTCATTAAAACCATTTAAATCACCTATTTATCTTAGTGATGGAATTATTCAAACAATCAATGTATTTGCCACTCGTTTTCCTATTAAATTAGAATTTGATCGTGAGTTCATTAATGGATATGATAATGGAAAATTTGCTGTTGACTGGCTTTCTAATCAACAAACCCTTTCTGAGAATTCCCCAATTTTACTTGTTTATCACGGACTTGCTGGTGGTTCTAGAGAAAGTTATATACAAAGATTTGTTTATTATGCTAAACAAAAAAATTATCGAATTGTTGTTTATACTTACAGAGGATGTGCTGGAACTAAAATGACAACACCTCGTGCATACAATATCACATGCTTAGAAGATAGTGTAACTTGTATTAATTATATTCACTCTAAATATCCAACAGCACCTATTATTACAGTTGGGTATTCAATGGGAGGAATGGTATCAACTACTTTATGTGGTAGACTTGACAATTTAAGAGAAAGTTGTAACCTCATTGGTTGTGTTGCTATTAGTGCTACTTGGCCATCTCTTTCAACTGCAAATGCTATTCCTCAAGTATTTATGGATAGTTTCACTAAATCACTTGTTAAAATTGCATATAAAAATCAAGACATCTTCTTAAATGCAATGAAAGAACATAAAATACCATCATTTGATTATCATTTAATGGATTACGTTACAACTGTTCCACAATTTGACAATAACTTTGATTGTAAATTATTTGGATTTGGACATTATGAGACATACTATTATGATATTGAGCAGTGGTATCATTTCTTACCAAAATCAAGTATCCCACTTTTGGCAATTAATTCTATTGATGATCCTATTGCTATTATGCCATCATACACTATTCAAAGAGTTAAAAATATGGTAGCATCAAGTTCAAATGTAATTTTTATTCTTACAAATAATGGAGGGCATTTAGGTTGGGTTGACAACTCTAACAAAGTATCATTTGTTGATGAAGCAACTTTAGAGTATTGTAATGAATTGGTTAAGTTATTCAACTCTGGAAATTATAAACCAACTACTTTTTAATAACTTTCTTTTGAAATTTTTGTGTCTTTTTCTTCATAGCCATGGTATTACACTAAAATTAAGGAAGTACTCCTGGTGGTAAATAAAAATAATTAGCAAATAAGTCAAAGCAACAAATTGATTAAAAAACAAGGAAACTATTTGAGAATACATTTCATTGATAAATTAAAGTGAGTTTAATGAGAGTTCTTATTGGAAAATACTAGAAAACGATTTAATTCATGAACAGACTATTTGAAATAAACAAAACTATAGATGTCAATAAAATAATGGAAAGTTTATTCTTTGATATGATAATATAGAAGATATATAACTGAACATAATTAAAGAATAGCATGAAATAAAGAGAAATAATAATTTAAAAAAAAAGTCATGGAATAGTTTCAGTTAAGAGGAAGTGAATGAAAAGAACATTAAACAAATCAAAGAATAAAAATTGAAATCTTAATCAAAGAAGTATTAGTTCTAATAATAAAAAAACAGGAAAGATTTTAGAATATTGTTTATGAAATATTAAATTTAAACAATCAACCTAAAAAATGAAAATAAGATTTTATTAGTGTCCAAAAGTCATGAATATTTAAATTTAAATAATATCTATTTGTTTGTATTTAATTCAGACAAAAGACAAATAACAGAATCAAATCATGTAAATGATATTAAATAATTTTGTATTGAAACAATATGGTGTTGTTTTACATAAACTAGGTTTAACATAGATTTTTATTCAAATAGTTATTTGCAATATGATTTTGTTATATCATTTTCTGTACTAACAAAAATCTAAACATATCTTAATACAACTTAAACACTCATCTAATAGGTTAATTAACAGAAATATTTTTAAATTTTACTACCAAATTTCATCATTCTTTTTGAACCTTTTTTATTTCTAATGATAAAACAAAAACAAGTCATTGAAACAAAAATAATTTTTTAGTTTTAGAATGAATAATCTTCTGATTTTATTTTCACATTCAATAAACAATAAACGCTCTATATTTATCATTCTCAGTTTAAGTTTTGGTATATTCTTATTCTAGTTATTAAGATTTGAATCAAATATAAAAGTTCTTACTCTTCTTGTTATCAATTCTATATTTATTTCTTATTTTTAAGCTTTCAGTTTTTATTTTATTTCTTTTGTTATCATGCTAGTATATTGTTTTATCAATTCTTCTTTATTCTTTTTGAATCTTTCTTTAATTTTCTTAATTTCATCTTTTATATCTGTTTCTCCAATTTGAGTGTTTTTACGATTATTTCATTCTTTGTTTTATTGAATAGTTCTTCCTCTTTACCTTTTTCTATTGCCCTTGTCATTTTATTCTTTATTTTTCTGTTTGATTTATTGGTTTACTTTTTCTATCTACTCTTCTTTCTATTCATTTATTCTTTCAAATACCCTTTCTCCTTTTTTGGTAATTGAACTTATTTTCAATACCCCTTAATAATATTATTGTTTGCAACACAATAACGGTGATAAATAAGAGTAGAAATAAACGATTAGAATGGAGAAACTATCATTGATAAATAGAATTATCACTTGTTAATGATATTGAGCAGTGTTATTTATTTCTCTTATTGCTTTAAATTATTATACAATCAAATCATGTCAATATTCATGAAACAGAAAGTAGTTACAATAACATAAGAAGATAGAACAAATAATAAAATATAAAAAAGGAAAAGAATAAACAAAGAAATAGAGAATACAATACATTCATAAATAAAGCAATATTATATTTTAATGTTAAATCATAATTACATAAAATATCATCATTAATACTAAAGAACATTTATATTCAATTTGATAAATAACTAATGCAACGTACAAGTACTAACAAAGCACATGGGTCCGAAAACAAGTTATTAGAATATATTCATTAAAAGAATAAAAGTGATGAAATAAGAAATAGTCCAAAATAGAGGTAACAGAGTAAAACAGAAATTGTTAGAGTAAAATACTTGTATTTTAATTTATGAAGTGGTGAATGTCATCAGTGAAAACAGTAAGGATTTATTTTCAAGATTGAGAACAAATTTAAACATCACCAAAGAAAAATAAAAAGAATTTTGTTTTTTTTTTTTTAAAAAAACTTCATAACTACAAATGTTCACAATGAATAATTCACTTTCCGACAACATTATCCAGATATTGTCAGGAGAATATCCTTCCTCTTTGCCAAACCAAGTCATATTAGAGATGTTTGAAAATGTTCCGTTTGAAAAAGTTAAAGAGCAATGTGCTCCATTAGTACATTCGTATTGTTGTAGGCATGTTTGGGGAAATGATTCTAAAGCATTTTTGTATAGATGTAGGACATGTGAAACAGGACCAAATTCATGTATTTGTGTTGAGTG